TTTTTTTTTTTTTTTTGGTACTTTCTCAAAATTTTCTTCTCCTTTGCATTGTATTTCTCATTTTGCCTAAAGAGAAAAGGTTTATCCAGAAAATAGTTAGGCAAAAGAAATTTGGAAGCACACAAACTTAACTAAATACAAAACTGTACAATTAATTGATAAATAAATAGTTGTAGCAATAGCAATAACAAAGTTAAACATATAACCAAAAATCTACCGAGAACAATATCTAGTCACGTGGAGAGTTATAGAAGTTTGGTCATCAATGAATACAACTCACCTGATGTTGAGAAAAGAAATTTTCCCCACGAATGATGTAGAAATGAATTAGGCATGAGAAGAAAAGCAATAAGCGGCGAATATCGATATGTTGATCTTTGGTAAGGTGATTTTCCATATGCCATTAAGGCAGCAGCATCAGAAAACACAAAATAGTCCACATCCGTGTACCTAACCTCCATATGAGCATCTTGCCACTCCCCATACAAAATTAACAAGACACGAAATAGTGCTGAAAACAGAAAAAGAGACCGGAAACTTATTTCCATCATTGCAAACAATTTGTAGAAAATTATAATCCGCCTTTACTGATTGGGAGCAAATCGTCAAAACCAAATGATCAATGAATACAATACGATGTCAAGCAGCAATCAGCATCTCCATGTTCATCTGCTATGATGAAATGATAATACCGACCAAGTTAACTGCAAAAGAAACGTCATGAACAAAACAGTCAGAGGAGTGAGAACCAAGAGAGATGAACAATTGTGAAATAAAATAAATGTTACATAAAAACAGAATCACTGTGACCTTCACTCAATTGGTAATACATAATATCTCTTCAAAATGCAATTCCCCTTGAATATAGCTATCGTAGAAATTAGTTTCAGGAGGTGTGGAAAGGATCTGTCTACCAACCACCAGAAAGATGTGAATATAAATTTCAATAACTAATATGTCAAATGGTTTTTAGGTTCATCCAATCCGTACTTACAGAGGCTTGATTAAATGTCTGGTCCTCCAACCTTACAAATTTTTCTGGATGTTACTCTTAGATTTAAGCTCCAATCAACTACATCAAGCAATGTGCACGATATGCCCGATAATCTGTACCACAAAAGAATCAGTTATTTACTCACAACTCATCGTTTAGGCATCGTACGCTATGTTTTTACAGTTAGATCGCGAAAGATCCTATTTTCCCGCGCCAAATTCTGATCAACATATCCAAGTTACACCAATATCAATTTTCAACCTTGAACAAGCGGGAATAAGATCTTCGACTCGACAAAATTGCTTCACGAACTGAAATCTCGAAATAAAATTTGAAAATTGCATTCAAAATTTGCACTTTGCAGACGTGGGCCAAAAGTTCAGGAAGGAAGTTCATGACATAAACTAACAAGTACTCTCAGGGCTTATAACTTGGGAAACCTAAAATCATATGCACATCTATCTATAATAGAAATCAGAATTCAAACCAGAAGTCAATAGATGAATTACTATGTTAATTTCATCTACTCTCTCTCCCTCTCTCTTACCACTTTCCTAATATCAGTCATGCAATTAACCATCCCAATAAGTTAGAAGCATAAAATATAATAAATCAATCAACCCTCAGCCAGAGGACATCAAATTTGGAGCTGAACAACAGTTAATAAGAGCCTCTTCAACCCCTTCTCTCACGACTATACTTTTACACCATTATAACAAAATAAATACCTATAGAAGGAAGTTCAGATTCAGTCATTTGGGCAGTTGGGTATAGGCTTCAGACGAGTAGGAACTTACCTCGTTGGAGCTTTCTACACAAACACCATGTTTGTCCTGCTATCTTGCAGGTTGCTTCGGTCGACCGGAGATTGACCGGGGACGGAGCTCCGGAGGGTGATTCTGTTCTTTGCTCTCCGATCTTTGTCGAGCTTCTTTTCTCTCTCTCTCTCTTTCCGTTTGAAAAGCTCATCCGGGTTTCGGCCCAGTTATCCTTATATGTTTGGGCCTATTGTATATTTTGACTAGCAGCCCAATTGATAGATTCACAACGCCATCTTAACTTCAGACCACCAAAATATTGGCGAATTTTCACATATGTGAAACCAACCTTCTATATACAACAAATAAACCTACCATATCAATAGAATTATATTAACGTTATTTAAGTAAACAAAGAATATGGTAGATTTATCTGTCGTATATAGAAAGTTGGCTCCACTATGTAGTCAACTGTTGACTCCATATTATTGGAAAAATACTTAAATAAAAAGTTTGACTTTTTAATTAATTTGTTTGACTTACTAATTTAAGCAAATTTGTCAAAAAAAAAAAAAAAAACACGTGCAATTTGAGTAAAAAAAATGAGATTTTAAAAGCAATATTGAAATCAATTTAATTAACAAAAAATCGGGAGGATGATGTTGAATTATGGAGGAGGATAATGTCAATTGATTCTTCCCGAATTGAAAGGTCACATGTGAGATATATACCAAAGATATCTAATTTATATAGTTACTTAGGGAACATAATTGTAGGAGATCAAAATATACCAATGTAAATGCAATATCAAGCCATATAAAACACTTTTGTTATAAGTAATTTAAACATTCTTTGTAAGTTCTAAATTATTATATATAACAAATCCTTTGTTCTTTTTATATATAATAATAGAAATAGATATTATATATGTATCTATATATCTATATTTATATCTATCTATATCTATATAATTGTAATAAAATTGTTGGAAAAATACCTAAATAGTAAGTTTGGCTGAATAAATAAATGGGTATACTTAATAGGTCTTGTTTGGTGATCAACGGATAGCGGATAGCGAATTATATTAGCTGATTTGACAAGCAGATTGCACTAGCGGTTTTTAAATAAGTGTTTGGTAAATAGCTGAAAGCTTATAGCTGTTTGACATTGCAAAACGACCAATAATGACATTTTTGTTCTTTAGGGTGTATTTTTTTATAATAATATATTACAACATTTAATATTCTTTAATTGGTAATATATATATATATATATTTTAATTTACTAACACTTGATGAAGAAGTTATGAGT